ATAACTCAACCATAAACCTAAAAACATATAGCCAATTTTGTAAGAGATGCATATTAGCTCAGAAAATTGTTATTGAATATGTCAGTGCTGATGTAATGAAATGATTCTTCTAATTATGTGGTTATTAAATAAATAATTAAAAAAATAAAATAAGACATGGATCTGCTCTCATTGAACACAGTGTTTTACATGTTACCTGCTGCATTATTAACATTCATAAATTTTATTATGACTAATACATCTTTACCAGAGCCAAAAATAAAGAAATTACAAGACTGCCATGCTGTCCTCCTGCAAATGGAGCCATTTCTAACAAAATCTTTCTTGAACCCACACGAATACTAAGATCCTTTTAGCAATAGCATTTCCATTTGATCATGAACAGTGAAGAAAATGCGAGTGGGACGCTTTTCACATGATTTAGCTAACCTGGCAAAATCAGAATGTATTGGATAAGATTCATGAGCTACAGAATGACTTAACTGTGTCAACTTGCAGAGAATAAGAGACTGCTGACTGCTCAGCCTTAAACGGAAGACCTATGTCACACTCCCTCTTCCCAAGGCTCAGGGATCATCCCAGAAGAGGGGCAGAAAGATTGTAAAAGCCAGGGAGTGGATGGATGTGGAAACAGTGCTTTCTAGATATGAAAATGCAATTGGACACATGAACTACAGAGGCTGTGACTGCATGTACAAGACCTGCCCAAGACCAAGCGAGCCAGAATCCCTTCATGGATGGGGTAGAGGTAAGGTTAGGAAGCCCTGATCCTAGCTGAAAAGTTATTGCCAATTGATGGCTGCTAGGAGAGGGAGCCTTTCTTCAGCTCCTAAGAAGCTACCCATGCTCCAATAGATGATCCCACGCCCATGCTCTTACTGGGAGCACTCAGTGAATCCAATAGGTTGAAAAAAATGAACACATGAAATGGGGAGGGAATAGCAGTGGTGGAGGAAGAGGAGGTATTGGAGGAGAGGGAATGGGGAGTGAATTTAATCAAAATACATTATATATATATATGTATGAAATTATGTGTCAAACTATGTCAATGCTGTTGTAATGAAATGCATCTACTAATTATCTGGTTATTAAATAAATTTAAAAAAGATAAATTCACTCTCAAATTTTCCTCCCATTAATATTAAAAACATTGTTTATGCAAAAAAAAGAAGGGCTGGAGAGATGGCTCAGGGGTTAAGAACACTGAATGTTCTTGCAGAAGACCCAGGTTTGAATCCCAGCACCCACATGGCAGCTAACAACTGTCTGTAACTCCAGTTCCTGGGGATCCGACAGCCTCTTCTGTCGGATTGCATGACACAGGTGTACTTACCTACATGCAGGCAATGCATGCACACACATAAAATAATAAATAAAACATTTAAAATAAATAAATAAATAAAAAGAAATTATGTGTCAAAAGCAGTGAAAGTAGGCCTGGAATTCCAATTAAGGTGCCTTTTAATGTAAAGGCAAAGAACAGGGTAATGGTGATATTAATTTCCAGGAAAACAATGAGTGACCAAAAGAGTGCAGTCTGGAGAGGGAGCCTCTCCTGGCTCAGTAGTGGAAGCAATTCAGTCCCCAAACAGGATCCCCACTAGAGAAAGCAATACAACTCTCACCAATTCACCACACCCCTCCCTTGATGGTGCACAGCAGTCATCAACTGGGAGACACTGTGCTGTGAGCCAGAGGAACAGCCCCGCCCACCACGGTGTTCTAGTCTTCTCCTGAAAAAGTCCTAACTTTGCACTGTGGCATCTAAGGCAGTTTCCTGTGGGTCCATCCAGTCTGATTCCATCCTCCAAATCCTTGCCATCTCTGGCAATTTGCCTAAACTGGGTTTGATTAACAGTGGTCAGGAGGATCCCTGTAAGCAGTCCCTCTCCCAGAAACCAACTGCTCTGATGATACCTCTAGCATTTGCGCTTCCTTTATTCTCACAGTTGTCAGCCACCCCCATGTGGAAAGACAAAATAGAAACTGGTCGTTCAGTCTCCCTCGATCTAAGTCTGATTTTGAGTTAAATCTACTCATACTTTCTAGGTGTCCTGTATGGAATCCTTTCTCAATCTTATTGTTCTTTCTGTAGTGCAAATAACTCTTCTGATTTTTCTGTGTGAATGAAGTATCTCTTCCTCCTCCTCCTCCTTTTCCTCCTCTACTTCCTCTTTCTCCCCCCCACCCCGCTTCTCTTCTGGTATTTTTAACACAGAGTCTCACTAAGTAATACATGCTGGCCTCTGATTCATAACCCTTAACCTTGACCTCTCCAGTGATGGGATTGAAAGCATGTACACCATGCTAGGCCAAGCTTTTTTCATTTGGCATACATGAGAATTACCTTCTGATGACTATTTTTCATGGTGAGGCTTTTCATTCTTTGTGTTTAAAAAATATTTTATTATTTCTACTTGTTGTCTATGTGTATGAGTGTATTGCCTCCATGTATGTAAGTGTACCCATGCCATGCAATGCCTACAGAGGTCAGAAGAGGCACTGGATCCCCTGGAACTGGAGTTACAGATTGTTATTAGCCACTATGTGGGTGCTGGGAGGTGAACCCGGGTCTTCTGCAAGAGCACTCAGCGCTCTTAACTGCTGAGCCATCTCTCCAGCCCCCATTCTTTGTGTTTTTATTCTTGAAAAGATTGAGTTTAGATTTCACTTAGATTATTTGTGTGTTTGATGTTTGATAAATGCAAATAAAGAAGGAATTGGTTTTAAATCAGAGCTTGAGAAACTAACATCATTAGATTATATCTGTTTTCAATCCAAACTATTCTAAACATGAGCTGACTGCAATCTTGAACTTAGCATTTCAAATAAAAGTTTCAAACTTACATATGGACTCATTTCCAAGGTTGGAGTTGGAAGCCGAGGCTGGGGGATAGGGTTTCTTTGAAGGAAATGCAGAGGCTTCTTTGCTTCTAGAACTTTATTCTTCTTATCCAACAGTGCCTGAAATAATACAACTAATGTTAGCTCTTATTTTTCCAGTTTCCTCCAATACCAGCTCTAGGCTGCAAATCTGAGCATCAATTAGAGAAATAATATCATTATAGCTATTACAGGTTAGTTGAGAAAGTCTGCCTGCGGTGCACGTACGCCCCAGGGGATGCTATGACATTTCTGAGGATTCATTAACTGCTGGATAGTATGACACCATTTTTTTAAAAATCTATTTTTATTTTATGTGTATGAGTGTTATGCCTGCATGTCATGCAGTGCCCATGGGGGAGAGAAGGGGGAGTTGGATCCCCTGGAATTGGAATTACAGACAGTTGTTAGCCACCATATGGGTGCTGGGATTGGAACCTGGGTCTTCTGCAAGAATGGCCAGTGATCTTAAATGTTGAACCATCTCTCCAGCCTTGACACCTATTTTTAAGAAATATTTTATTGGGCCAGTATGGTGGCCCACATTTTTAATCCCAGCACTCGGGAGGCCAAGGCAGGTGGATCTCTGTGAGTTCAAGGCTAACCTGGTCTACATAGTGAGTTCCAGGCCAGCTGGGGCTACAGGAAGACCCTTTCTCAAAAAGTCCAAAAAATATTTTATTTTTTATTTTATGTGTGTGAGTGTGTTGCCTCTATGTGTGTAAGCATACCCATGTTGTGCAATGCCTACAGAGATCAGAAGAGGGTGTTGGATCCCCTGGGACTGGAGTTACAGGTGATTGTTAGCCATCATGTGGGTGCTGGGAATTGAACCAAGGTCTTCTGCCTGCAGAGGTCAGAAGAAGGTGCTGGATCCCCTGGGCCTGGAGTTACAGGTGATTGTTAGCCACCATGTGGGTGCTGGGAATTGAACCCAGGTCTTCTCCAGTGGTCTTATAGATGAGTTGTTTCTCCAGCCCGTAATGGCACCTATTTTTAATGTACTTATTTTAATCAAATATGTGGGACTAAAATAGTTTCTTAATTTTTAAAAGGCTTTATCCTGTGTTCATAAGCATGCCTTGAGGGTCTTGCTTTCCATATAACTAATTATTGTTTTAAAAGAATGTCTGAGGGCTGGAGAGATGGCTCAGATGTTAAGAGCACTGGCTGCTCTTGCACAGTTTGAATCCTAGCATCCACATGGTGGCTAACAACCACATATAACTCCAGTTTCAGGGAATCCAAAGCCCTCTTCTGACCTTTGCAGGCACAAGAGTGCACTAATATAATACAGGCAATATACTCATACACATAAAAATAAAAATGATAAATAAGGTGTTTAAAAAAAAGAATATCTGAGAACTAGGAAATTTTCCTGCATAGGAGATGGTTGGAATATTTGGTATGTTTTGCTGTTACCAGGAAACCAAAGAACATTAAACAGCCCTTTTTTTTCTGAGGGTAGAGAGAGACCTTTTCTTTGGCCTGGAAGTCTGTGCATTTAATTTTTTTTAAAATTAACTTGCTTCCTAGTAAAGTGTGTGTGTGTGTGTGTGTGTGTGTGTGTGTGTGTGTGCAT